CCAATGAAATCAGCTTTGAACTTCATGCAACTGCTGTTCCCTAGGGGTTACTATGCCCTATTAGGACTCTGGGAGTCTATAAATAGTGTCCAAGTTAGGTTTGGAGTTGCAGCTACCTTTCACACCACTGGAACTATCTTTATCTGAAAAAGCAAGTTGGAAAGGGTCTTTAGTGCTTGCATTTGAGGAATGTATTCAAGTTTCACTGCCCAAATGCCCTGAAAATACAACACATTGCTGTTGCAAAATAATACTTGACTTTTTTAGAATTCACCATATTTTGGTAGGCTTAGTACAGTTTACTAGACTTAGTACAGTTTGCTATCTACTAGATGGCATTCAAGTACAACAGATTCCTTAGAATTTTCATTGGGTGACAGTTCATCACCAGAAGGTAGAGAGTTTATAGGTATCAATGATGACTATCTCACGTAAAGCACTGGTACTCTCCGTGCAATGGTTTCCTAATGAAAATGTTACATTATAATCAGGTTTCACCAAATGCTGAGGAAATAATCTTTCACTGAAAGGACCTTGTGCAGTTGGAAAGACCATCTTGGAGTTTGGATGGGTTGCAAGAAGAACTTGGCTCACTTCAAACACCTGAGTCTGAAAATCTAGAAGAGGCCTATGTGGCATTCATATCTGGTAATCTAATTGTATCTCCCCTTCCTACAACATGATATTCTTCTGTAGAAGCAGCAGGTGGGTTACGTTCTAATTTAGCTAATGATTCTCCAGCAGAATGGTACTTTGCTTCCTGCAGCTTCCTTTTCAACTGTTGCTTCTGTATATTTGGATTTACCATCAGATTCTAAGGACTTAAGGTAGTAAATTATCCACAAATAGTTGTATCTGTCCGGCATCCTCTTTTTAGTTATTTCTCCCCATGGAAAGGATCTTTGTCACTGGACTTCAAGAGTTCTAACTTCTGAAGGTGGGGCTGTTTGATGACCATGGCATTCATCTGATGTGCTTCTGGATGCCAGGTTTTGTTCCATGGGTGTGGTTTCACTGTCATCTGGCAGATGGCAAATTTGCCTTCAAAATACATATCTTGAAAGATTATAGGTAATGAATTGAGATCTCGTATCTAATTCACTACAATCAATAGGTAGGGGTGGAAGAGAACTGCAGAAGGAGGTGGTTTTGATAGTGGTGCACATCTGTAGGTGACTCCATGAAGTTCTTGGAATGCAATCGCAGTTTTCCTAGGATGTTCAAAGCAAAAGAGCCACAGAAAATCGCGACCCCTCAAGGTCTGGTGTTCTTGTGCTAGTGATATTCTTAGTTCATGTAGTGTTAAAACGTCTAGAAATTGTCCCCATAAGGCCATCAGAAGTGAGCACAGTTGTGCAAGATTCATATTTCTAAGTTCTACAAATTAGGATTTTCTGTTTTCTTCACATATTTGAGTAAGTTGAGCTTCTACATCCATTTCCTGTACTACACAGGTATCTTTCTGGGTTCTTGACGGTTTTCTGAGAAGGCGCTCATATAGCATGGTGTAGGAGAGTGCGGTGTCTTGTGTAGTTAATGCCAAACCACACTTTCCCGACTGGAATCCCAGTCTTTGTTTTGTTCTGGTGCATTTCTGTTTAACCAGGTAGTCTTCACAGGGTGAAGGAAGCTTACTAGTGGTTGGTGTAGCGCAACCAGTGACGTGTGAACTGTAACAGATATCACAGAAAAAGTGGATATAATCAAGCATGGCCTTCACATGATGATCAAGCCCTCAATAGAGGCTAAACTGCAGCTTCAAAGTCCAGTTACTTATTAGTTGTAAAGCACTCAGATCATCTGCCAAGTAATCTCCTTCTGTGAAGTGTAGATCCAAGGTAGAAAATTAATTTTCTAAAGGGTTTTTTCAGTCTTTGATCCAACAACATTTTGACTTTGAAGATCATTACGTCATTTAAAACCACCTTGCCGGGCGCTGGTGGCTCACACCTGTCATCCTAGCTACTCAGGAGGCTGGGATTTGAGGATCGCAGTTCAAAGCCAGCCTGGGCAGGAAAGTCCGTGAGTCTCATTTCCAATTCACCAGAAAAACACTGTGGCTCAAGTGCTGTTACGTGTAACAGACTGGCTTCTGCTCTGTGGGGAAATCTTGGTGGCATTCTCATTGTTGCATGAATCTGGTATAAAAACTCTGGAATATTCCACATTGTAGCTCCACAAAAAATTCCAGCATGGCTTGAACTTCACTCATTTTCAATTTATACTCAGAAGACAGATCTGGTAATAGCACCTCTGCTGATCAAAACTTCATTTTAACGTAATTTATACTTAATCTTGTTTTTTCAATTACTGATTCTTGTTAGGAATACATCGTCCTCTGGACAAAGTAAATACAATGAAGAATTTACTGTTTGTGAGTTGTTTTGAGATTCCAAAACAAATAACACAATCCAGAAACCATCGCCATTACAGCACAGTCCATGGCCACCGCCGTGGCTCTGCCAATCATGCAGTGTCTTTAAAAAACAACAAAACCCACAAAAATTATTTTTAAAAATGTCATTATTTATTACCATCGAACTTGGAAAACAAAAGTATTTTGTCATGAATGAGTTTGGACTGTGGAATCGCATCAAGGACATAGCTGTAACAGTCGGTTGCCTTTTTGTGCTCCTCTGATAGAAGAATGGTTTTTTAGGACACGGGGAAAGGGATGTCACCGTGTTTCAGTAGGTGACCATTAGTAGTATTTCTATAAGAGAGTCCCCTCAGTGCCACCGGGCCGTCTTTTTGCTCCGATTTATTCTTCAAGTGGATTTGAAACCTGTGTGGTCTTTGTGCGACAAGCTACATGAAAAGAGATTCGAGTTAGGTCACAGGAGCACAGGGCACACCCCAGTCTCGTGGGCGTGAGAAGCAGCGCTGGTGTAGAAGGGGATCTCACCTGGTGAGAGGAGGCGGGCTGAGCCGCGTCCCACAGCACTGCGCCTGCTGGTGATTGGCTCACAGAACACTGGGAAACTTTCTTGGTGGCCCTGTGTGGGTGGTGATTGGAGGAAAGGAGGCTCAGGGATCCAAGGTTGTGAGTTACAGCAGGAGGCCCCTGAGCACTTTGGATTGAGATGACTAGCTCTCAAGGTTCATTTGTCCTCTGTTGTCAGATGAAGAATTCCCGCTTGCCAGTGCTTCAGGGCGTTGGTAGGGAATTGTTTTGGAAGGGCAGTTGTGGGAGGCTTAAGAGTGAATGTTGTGGTGTTCATGTCCTGGACACGGACCGTTTTCAGTCCACTCCAGGCTCTCCGTGGGGGCTGCTGGTCAGCTTCCTTCGGTCTGGCCACTCGGCCAAATGGCCAGGGCGGTACTTGGTGTCTGGGGTTGACCATCACAGTAAGCGCTGTGGCAAAATCTGAACTGTTACAACTGACATGGCGTGCATGCTCCAGTCTTGGGCAGTAGTTTTCAGGCCAGGTCCTCAGATAGAAAAACAATGCTTTTGATTATTAGTAAATTCTGTGTGTGTGTGTGGAGGGGGGGTATTTAATGAAGACAATTTAATAAATTTGAAGAAAATACTTTTTTTGGTCGTGGGGTTTGAACTCTGGGCCTGGGCACTGTCCCTCAGCTCTTCAGCTCAAGGTGAGCGCTCTACCACTTAAGCCACAGCGCCACTTCCAGTTTTCTTGTGGTTTATTGGAGGTAAGAGTCTCATGGACTTTCTTGCTGGGGCTACCTTTGAACTGCGATCCTCAGATCTCAGCCTCCTGAGTAGCTAGGATTTACAGCTGTGAGCCCCTGGTGCCCGGCAAGAAAATGCTTTTAAGAAAACAGCTTTATCAGTAGTTATGAATTGCAAAAAAATATATATAAATTAGAACATCTATATTGAGTAATTGAGTAAAATATTTCAGAACCAGCAAACCACTTTCTTTACATTTGTACATGTGTGCGTGTGTGTGTGTAGGTGTGCTCATCCTGAGGCTCGAACTCAGGGCCTGGGTGCTGTCCCTGAGATTCTTTGCTCAAGACTGGGACTCTACCACTTGAGCCACAGCTCTACTTCTGACTTTTTTTGTGGTAAATTGGAGATAAAGAGTTTCATGGGCTTTCTTGCCTGGCTGGCTTTGTAGTGTGATTCTCAGACCTCAGTTCCTGAGTAGCTAGGAATATAAGTGTGAGGGCTTACTTGGTTTTTTTGTTTTTGTTTTTTTTCTCTAACACCAGTTGCCAACAAGGGTTTATGACTACTTTTAAGGTTTTTTTCCTTTGATATCTGGTTTAAACAAAATACCCCAGGCTGGTGTCAAGCCCATGATTCTCCCATCTTTGTCTAAGTTCTGCGGCTGCAGAGTGTATTGTTATTTCTGGCTTATCTAGACTAGTATTTGGGGATCATAGTATTTGGGGATCACCGTAGGGTGCTATGAATAAGGTGGTGGTCAGATATTTTCTACTGTTACTTCTTCATGGTAAAAAAGAAGCTAGAAAATTTGGAATTGAGTAGCAGTCACTTTGCTTTATCACCAAAACTCAGTTTAATGGAACAGGAATATAGAGCCAGGGTAGCAGTAGGTGTGGAGCTGAAACTTGTACAAACACGAGACAGTTAGATGGCAGGGGTCTTAATGTCCTTTATCATATAAATACTACATAAAGAAAACTTACATTTAAGTATTTAAAAAAACTTTTACAATCTATACATTGGCTTTTTCCTTGTACTTCTTTATCTTACACACTTTCAACAAACTTGCCAATGGCCAGGAAGAGGGGCGTCCACAGAGACCCTGAGTGCCCGTGGTGCTGAGAAATGCCATCTGCCCCTGGCTCGGGTACGGGGGACCGTATTCACAGCCTAGGCTCAGTAAGACAAAACCATGTTTCAGATTCTTTTTTTTCTCTGTCAGTTGTGGGGCTTGAACTCTGGGCCTGGGCGCTGTCCCTCAGCTCTTCAGCTCAAGGCCACCGCTCTACCACTTTGAGCCACAGCGCCACTTCTGGTTTTCTGGTGGTTCACTGGAGATAAAGAGTCTCATGGGCTTTCCTGCCTGGGCTGGCTTTGAACTGTGACTCTCAGATTACAGGTGTGAGCCACTGGCGCCCAGCTGGTCTCAGATTCTTTCAGGTTCCACTGGCTCCCGAAGCTGCAGCCGACACAGTTCACTCACTCGCTTTTCTGCGGCACATTTTTTGTTCCAGTGCCATGAGAACAGATTATTTCTGTGCAAACTAACCTGTGGCCCGTATTCTGGGTGAAGAGAAAGAATTGTGTTCCATGGCTGTTTAAAAGCCCTGAGCCAGGCCCTTTCCATTCGAGAAGCTGTAGTGAATGCAGGTCTTCACGCGTTCCATGGAAAACAAGGAACGAGAGCTGCTCTGAGGGCATCATGCAGTGCGGGGGACCCCAGCAGCGCTGCCTGGATTGGAGACTTCTGAGTTCAGGTTTGGGAAAAGGATGAGTCTGCAAGTAAAGTGACTTTGAAAACTCCAGTTTGGCCACAAGCCAGTTCTCTGTCACGAGAGCGCTACACAGATGTGCATGCAAATGAAGAAGCTGCCTGTGCAACCTGAGTCCTCCAAGCAGGGACACCGGGTGCTGGTGGCGGCAGGTCTGGGACCTGGTTGAGATTCAATTCTTAGCAGTCCTTGTGTGAGTCAGTGCACCATCAGAGCTTGCAAGCTGGGGGCAAAGTCTCACTCCCCCCAGACAATCAGAAAATTTCTAGAGAGAACTACGAAGAGGCCAACAACAGTTTGTGAATAGCTGCTCAGGCAACCAAATGAACCTATTTATCATTCACCTTCCCAACAGAAGAGTCATAGGAGGGTGTTTGTGATTTTACACAACAGTATACTCTACATTGTAAGCAATTTCTCCATCTTGCAACAAACTGCAGTGACACATGCATGCCTGTTACCGTATATACATGTGATACACATATGTACATGCCGTCAGCTACGTACAACACTGATCCAATTAGCTTATTTCTAATAGTGAAGACAGTTTTCGCACAATCCAGTTCAAATAAAACTTTAAAATAACTTAACTTTTTTTTTTTTAAAAAAAGAGACTATGAATGGTTAACCATTCTTCATAGACTGTTTCTTTAATAAAGCCATACATCCCTAATTCTTAGTGCAGAATGCATGGGATAGCATGTTTATGCTGTGTATTTTAGCCAGCTCACCATCGTGTATAACACGTGGTAGCTGTTTCTGGCAGTGAGTGTGTTATTCTGGAAGGACTTTAAGGCCACAAGTGTGAGTGGCTGTGCAGTTGGGTCATGTGCTCAGGTCAGAGGCTGGGGAAGGGGGTGGGGGGAGGACCGAGGCTGATTGGTTAGATCTGAGGTAGTGAGGTCAGAACCAGATTCACAAAGAATGCTGGCCTGTAGAAGTCATTCTGGGTGTGGGTGATGGTTTTTGGGTGGAACGAAGTAAAGCCCCTCTTTCAGAAGAAAGCAGACTTTTTCCCCGAGGTTGCCGGTCTAAGGGAGAAGCAGGCCACCTGAGCTGTTCCCTTCCCAGAAAACTGTCATCACACTTTAGCACACTTGGTGTTCATTCTAGAAAAGAGTTGCATTATGAACGCCACAGGCTTCACATTCCCGCCTTCCTCCGCTCGGTGCGGTACGAAGCCTCCCGTTCACGAGCAGTCATGGCTGCTGCTTTTGTAGACATCACCTTGGGTCTGCTAGTGAGCCCAGGGTCCAGGATGGGGGGTGCTCATCCCTGCTTTTGTTTGTGGGCTAAGAGCAGTCTCCGTGCTCCATTTGGGCCAAGACATGATTATTCTTTTCCAGCCGGAGGGATTCTATTTTCTTCTGTGCGTATTTCAGTTGGATCTTCAGGGCCTCGTTGTCGGCCTTCAGGGTATTTATTTCCTACAGGGGAGGAGAATGAAGCTGGTTAATGCAGCAGTGGGAGCAGCGGCTGGGCTGGAGCAGGAGGGCTCCCTCCTGTCCACCGGCTGGAAAGCACAGCATGCCACACAGCAGTGTCATGGGTGCGAGTGTCTGCCGGTCTGGGAAGCCACTCGACTCGGAGCACAGCCGTGGCATGCTGTGTAGCCATTCTTAACCGGGCTGAGCCATGACAGCAGGGCTGGAAAATCCTATACCATGAAATGGAATACTGTTCCCCTCCCCAAGCCACTGCAAACTAATGGTTCTCTTTGGATAAAAGTAAGAATTTGGCCCCACCTCCTAAACTGGGATTAGTTATCTAATTGGCCGGAATTTAATTAGAGCCCTCAGCTGATTTCTAGGCTTCTGATGGTGAGGCCGGTGTTGTTGCATTATAGCACACTGGGCAGCGTCTGGTAACCGAGTCCACGAGCATCTGAGTGGATTCTCTACGGCTAGCTGCGGGCTTCACAGGTGGCACACAGCCCTCGCTGTCTGCTGCCTCGCTCCCTGGAGTAGGTGGCAGGTCTACATTTCATAGGAGGAGAAAACACTGCCATCTAGTTTCAGACCAGAGGGCGGAGTCTTCACTTGACTTGTCCTGTGCGTGCTGAGTCAGAGGGATACAGACGCTAAAATAACATGCAATCTTCAGTAAGACAACAGTTCCATTTTGCATGCTGTTTTAAACACTGGCTTCATCTGGCTAGCTGGTTGTGGATAGGACTGTTGAATTATGGACAAGGCATAGGATTTCACATAATAGGAGGACAGAACGTTGCTCCTCTGATGTGGATCTAGCAAAAGGAGCAGGGAGGCGGTGAGAGGGGGGCTGGGGGCGGGGGGGAGGGGTTCTGCACTGACTACAGCAGCTCCCAGCACGGGCCTGTGCAGTGCCGAGGTCTGGAGCTGGAGTGTGGAATCCTAGCCCTCTATTTTACAGAGTACCACATAGTATTTAGCCCAGTTTATTATTGGTCTATGAGGACTTAACTGAACACCGTATAATGTCCACATACGTAGGTACAGTTAGGTTTACGAATGGGCTTCCGTTACTTATAATCAGCAACACGGCCTCTTTTCTGCCTTTCTTCCCCCTTTAACCCACTAGTGGTCATTCTGGTTTGGATCTGCCCGGCCTCGTGGGAGGGAGGGGAGGTACCTGCTCCAGCTCTTGGTATGTCGGCAGTGGGAGGCGGCGGAGCTCCTCCTTTGACTTTAGGAAGGACTCCTTATTCTCCCACTTGACGAAGGCCCGCTTTCTGACCAGGACCGGGCTGGGGCATGGGGACGGGGGGCTGGGGGGCACATAGAGGGTGTCCTGGGCCACCTTCGGGGAGGAGAGCACCAGCTGCCCAGGAGAGCAGGGCAGGGCCTCCGTCTGGATGGCCTTGTGAGCCACGGCCCGCTTCAGGCGGACGGAGATCTTCTGGGAGGACACGCCCATCAGCATGATGGTCCGGTCCTTGCTGTCCTCCCCGGGCTCCCCGCCGTGGATCGCCAGCGCGCCTTCCTCGGGACCTGTGGAGACACGCAGGCGTGAGCCCACTCAGCACCCCGCGTGGCCGGGGACGAGGGGCCCCCTGCCTGCCTCCCGCTGCAGGGGTTCACCGGGCAAGAAGGGCAGGAGTGGAGAACGTGTACAGGAATGCTCTGGCAGTACTTCCCATGGCCTCGGGAGTACCCACGAGGCAAGCAGGAACTCCGGGCCCCACCCCCTGTGAGTGGAGGTGGATGGAGATGGGACAGACCAGCCCAGAACGGTGAAGCAGAGCAGTCATGTCTTGGCCAAGAGTAGGCGTGGCTGCCAAGGGAACAGGAGATCACCCAGGACTGAGTCTCAGCTCCACAATTACCAGGTCCCACACAGCTACCACAAATAGATTAGGGTTCTCTTTCATTAAAACAGTGATGGAAAATACTTTCCAGAGCTCTGGAATTAAATCATTATGTAGGAGAAAGGGCCTATTAAAAAGGATACATGTGTGCCGGGCGCTGGTGGCTCACGCCTGTAAATCCTAGCTACTCAGGAGGCTGAGATCTGAGGATCATGGTTCAAAGCCAGCCCAGGAAGGAAAAGTCTGTGAGACTCTAATCTCCAGTTAACCACCAGAAAGCCAGAAGTGGTGCTGTGGCTCAAGTGGTAGGGCACTAGCCTTGAGCTGAAGAGCTGAGGGACAGCGCCCAGGCCCAGAGTTCAGGCCCCACAACTGACAAAAAACACACACAAAATAAACCATATAAATAAGTAAAAAGCATACATGTATTTGCATTAAAATGATGTATTTTTTTCTGTGATGAAATTTTTTAGGTAAGATATTGAGTAATCAAGACAAAGGGAAAAAAGTTCTTGATTACAACTTAAATTTTTAAATTTATACTCTGACAGGCATTAAGATCCTAGAATTGTTCCCAAGAGCTACATCAAACTATTATTTAATATTGACTTAAATAAAGCTTAAATTTGCAGTGATACCATGAAGTACTAGAGCCCCCTACTGTAAGAATGTAATCTGTCACAGGCTAAATGACAGTCTTGACAAGGGCCAGGCGATTTTCTTCATCCATGTATAACTAGCATTACTTTTCCAGGAGACTTTTTTTGTGGGGGGGGGGGGGAGTCCGGTCATGGGGCCTGAACTCTGGGCCTGGGCGCTGTCCCTCAGCTCTTCAGCTCAAGGCTAGCGCTCTACCACTTGAGCCACAGAGCCACTTCCGGCTTTTTTTTTGCTTATGTGGTGCTGAGGAATCAAACCCAGGGTCTCAGGCATGCAAGGCAAGTGCTTTACCACTGAGCCACCTTCCCAGCTAACTAGCGTTACTTTTCCATGTTTACGGGCTCGGTGTGCTCTTCCCATGCGTGCATCCATCTGCACTGACCATGTCCCTGCCCTGCCCCTCCCTCTACTCTCACCCCTAGTAATCAACCACCGAGACCGGATGGTCATCTTTCTGTGTATGGTGTATCTCACTAAATGTAGTTTCTTCCAGTTCATTTGCTACAAACAACAGGATTCTGTTTTCTATATGGACGAATGATACTCTGTGGACTGTAATAAACCACACTGTGCACTACATTATACTGTGCACGGGTGTGTGTATAGTGGATTGGCTGGCTCCATGTTAGCTGTGGCGAAGAGGACCAAGATAAACGGGCAGACGGCATCTCTGCCTTGCTGGCTTCCTTCGGAGATCCCCCTGCGGTGGGATAGCCTGCTTGGTGAGAAGCCACGCTTGCTCTCACGCTCTTTCCCGTGTGTCTTGTCTTACAAATCTTGTTTTGGAAGTGCCTGGCTCCAGCTTTCTTCTCTTGAGGCTGCTTTGGCCACTTGGGGTCTTCTGTGCTCGGTATGAATTTTAGAATTGCCGTTTCTGCTGACATTTGATGGGATTGTAGTGACTGTCCAGTTGCTCCTGGTGGAGTGAACACAGCACCGATGTCCTTCCGGGCCATGAGTGGGGAGGTCTTACGTTCTAGAACCTTCCGTTTGTTCCCCGGCTTTTGATTGGGGAGGGCTTGAGTTGTCACTTCCGCTGCTAAGCCTGTGCGTGGACTGCTTCCATAGCTCCTTTCTCAGAAGTGTTACTGGGGCACAGGGCGCCCCACACACACTGTAGAGGGTCCGTCGGACAGAGCCACCCCCTCTGGTGCGATGCCACTCGGCTGCATGCCGTGCGGCCGCCCTCCCGTGGGAGGGTGCCGGTCCCCCGGGTGCTCTGTCGGCCAGGCGCCCTGGTGCAGGCGGGCTGTGGCACTGCGGAAAACCGAAGCAGGTGTCCTTAGCGCAGACAGTGGGCACCTGTGGGTGCTTCCTGTGGACAGGCGGTGGCCTCTGGCGGCCACGCCCCGGACCCCGTGGACGCAAGCACACGGGTGTAGCGGCAGGGGGGCTGCGCCGGCCTCTGCCGCTGCAGTGGGCGTGCCCACGCAGGGAGGAGCCCCAGGGCGCCGTGGACCCTGGGCCTGGAGACAGGGCTGGCGCCGGGCTTCTCTCTCCTTGGACTGGGCTGCGTGGACTGCGTGAAGCTCGCCGTAGGGTCTGTCGTGTGCACAGCAGCAGGTGCCGGCCCAGGCTCTGCACCTCCTTCCATTGCAGAGCCGTGGGAGCCGGCACTGGGCCAGCGGCAGTGTCCCAACCGCAGTGGCAAGGGTAGGGCCGTCACTCCCTGCAGGGCAGAGCCAGCCTCCGCCCAGGCAGCCACCTGCTGAGCCAGGGCCATGGCTCCCGGGTAAAGCACCCTGGGGAGAGCGGCTACAGCCAGTCACCGCTGCCTGGTGTTGGCTTCAGCAGCACTGGGGGCTGACGGGGCTGCGCTGCTAGGTAAGCGCTCCTGCTCTTGGGATGTGCCCCCCTGCTCTTGATACATTGGTTATCTCCCGGATGAGGTCTGCTTGTGTGGGACTGCACACCTCCAGGTCTCCGCCCAGGTGGCCGGCACGCCAGGCGGGCCGAGGTGGCTGCTTCCGTTCTGTGATCTTGGAGCCTCCTGTTTTCCTTAGCAGTTATGCTCAAATCACAACTTATAACTCAAGCACTGGTTGAGGTCAAATTCCTATGTGTTGGGGAAGCAAAAGGAGGAAGAGCAACAGGAAAGGAGCCCTAAGCTCCAGGAAGAGTCCCAGAGCAGCGCACGGTGCTGCGAGCCAGGGCGGAGGCCTCGCGGGGAGCCTGCCGCGGCCCACAGCAGATTCGCTGCTCCCGGCCGGTTTTCCTGGGAGGATGTGTGATCGCCTAATGTGATGCGTAACCTTAAAATGGGGGTGTGGTGCGCACACTGTCTTCCAGTGGCATTTGCTAATTTATATTAAAAAACGGAACGTCTGCTCGTCAGTTCACTCGTGTATTCTTTCTTGGGGGAAAATCTGCTCTTCAGCCCCCCAAAGTCTGAGAGACAGACCTGCACTGGAATCCAGCTGTGAGCGGCGCCAGCCCTGGCCTGGCCGTGAGGTCAGGGTAAGGCAGAGCAGCCGCGCCCCAAACGCAGCCCTCCCCGCACGCTCTGAGATGAGCGCCCCACGCCCGCTCACCGTACAGCAGGTGTTTGGCTCCCAGCGGGTACAGGCCGGACACGGGCCCTGTCCAGGCACTGCCCTCCGTGGGACCTGCCGGGTTCTTTGCTCGTTTCTTGCACTCGAACACCACCAGATCCTTGCACTGCTTGTGGCAGTTCATCCCGCAGTCTATAGACGAGACACATTCTGGATCATTCTGGTGTCACCAGATCTCTGCATGCAGTGCTCCCCGGTCTGTCTGTCTGCCCTATCTTTTTTAATTTTTGCTTGGGGCTGGAACTGCTGGCCTGAGCACTGTCTCTGAGCTCTTTTTGTTCAAGGCTAGGGCTTAACCACTTTGGGCCACCACTCTGCTTCTGGGTTTCTGGTGGTTAGTCGGAGGTAAGAGCCTCACGGTCATCCTGTCTGCCTGGCTTCAAACTGCGATCCTCAGATCTCAGCCTCCTGAGTAGCTAGGCTTACAGGCATGAGCCACCAGCGCCTGGCTGTCCTTTGAACAGCCTGACTGGACCCAGCCCTGATCTCAGGAGCTGTGGGAACCCTCATTGGGAGCAGCAGCATCTTATCTCAGAGGAAAGAGATGGCTTCCTGTCCTGTTCACTCTGAGAACCCTCTAGAGGCTCCAACTTCTGGGCCTGACTCTTTCTTCCTCCTGGTAAAAGGTTCTTGCCCACACGCCTGACCTGTTCTCGTCACAAGGAAGGGCTCACAGGTCCTGAGTCCCCACAGACACAGGAGGCTCTGTCTCCCCACTGGGGCCTGTCTTCCCTTGACTGCCTCCTGCCTACCGGCCCCCTCTGCGGGGCAGCGGGGGGGTCCCAGGGTAAGGAAGGCCCCCCCACCCCGGGGCCGAGTCTTACCTTTACATCGATAGCCCTGCTTGATCACTCCCCAGAGCTGTGGAAGAGGAAACGGCAACACACAACACCGTCACTCAGCTGGGCCAGGTCTCCAGCTCACGGCCTTCCTGACCCTCAGGCTGCTCTGGCTGCAGGGAAGGACCCGCCTGCTCTCTCCCTGCTCCCCCTCTGCCTTACACTGAGAATAGGGGGCATTTGTGTTGACCACTGGGGTCCTGCTGTGGCTGTGGTGGCCATGGCCCGAGATGAATGCGTCCGCCAGCTCCCCCCCCCCCACATACATACAACATACACACACACACACACTGAAAACCCAGGGAAAGGGGGCTGTTGTGTTTCTTTTTGCCTAATACTTGAAGCATGCTTAAAAAGCATACTCCAAATCCAGCCTCCTGTGCCTCCCATGCAAGGCCTTCATGTACCAAGGAGAACAAGACGGGGATTAGACGGGCAGGGTCACCCTGGGGCTGGCAGGGCTGGCCTGGGGCTGGCAGGGCTGGCCTGGGGCTGGCAGGGCTGGCCTGGGGCTGGCAGGGCTGGCCTGGGGCTGGCAGGGTCACCCTGGGGCTGGTAGGGCTGGCCTGGGGCTGGCAGGGTCACCCTGGGGCTGGCAGGGCTGGCCTGGGGCTGGCAGGGTTGGCCTGGGCGCTAAGCTGGGTGGAGCAGGGGTTGTGAGGGCCAAGCCTCGTGCTCTCACGTC